CCATTGACTGCCAAGTAAATTACACTGTCAAGGTCCAGAAAAGTATGAAAGACATCGTCAGAATAGTCCATCTGGCATCAGTGGTTCAACCGTACCGTTATGAAGCGACGATAATACTTTTTGTACGCGAAAAAAACAAAAATAACGACTTTATTCAACAATTTGTCTCATCTGTGTCTCTCCGTATGCATGCTAAAGTATGCATGCTTTAAGGGTAGATAAGTTACAAAGGTGCACTTTTGAGGGTACCTCATGAAAAATAAACATGGTGTCTATCACGGGGTGCTACTGTGAGGAGTACTCACCAATGAGTTTATTTCAATCACGGGGAATCACACGTAGCACAAGGGAGTTGACAAACAATACCAGAGCAGGGTACTCGGGAGGCCATGGCGGAGCAGTTGACTTGATTGGGAACTGCTGGCTGACTCGACTCGGGAACTGCTGGCTGACTTTGGGGGAGCCGCGGACGGCGGCGGGCTTGAGTGAGCCGCGGACGGTGGCGGACTGGTTCTGGCTCGGGACCGGACACTCCCCAGACACCGGAAGACACCTTCCCTAAGTTACAAAGGTGCACTTTTGAGGGTACCTCATGAAAAATAAACATGGTGTCTATCACGGGGTGCTACTGTGAGGAGTACTCACCAATGAGTTTATTTCAATCACGGGGAATCACACGTAGCACAAGGGAGTTGACAAACAATACCAGAGCAGGGTACTCGGGAGGCCATGGCGGAGCAGGGGACTCGGGAGGCCATGGCGGAGCAGCCTCTACTAACCCCCCCCCAAAAAATACTTGGGTAAATTTACGGGGCTGTACTTGGGGCCAGGAGCCCTCCCTGGGCGTAAAAAACAAACGCGAGGAAAAAGTCGCCGCTCACTTTCTGTTTTGGTCCGGTATTCTGTCACGGGGTGCTACTGTGAGGAGCACGGAACGAGGAAACCAGGAGACCAGGAGTACAAACCAATGAGTTTATTTCAATCGCGGGGAATCACAGGATCAGGAGCCCTCCGTGGGCTATACTCGGGATCAGGAGTCCTCCGTGGGCTATACTCGGGATCAGGAGCCCTCCGTGGGCTTAAAAGATTTTTTTTAAGTCTCATGCTCACCAAGGCTGCACTTATTTGAGGGAGAAAAAAAAAAGTAAAATCAGCAATATTGAGAAATATAACAATTAAAAATAACTATTTTCTATTTTAATATATTTTAAAATGTAATTTAAAATATATCTGTAATCAAAGCTGAATTTTCTGCATCATTACGCCAGTCTTCAGTGTCACATGATCCTTCAGAAATAATTCTAATAACGCAGTCCTATTTGAACAAGCACTCAGAGCCATACGTAAGCAGCGAATGCTGTCTGTGATTGATTGGTCCTGTCTTTCAGAATTTGCGTGTGTTCCGATGAGCAGGAGAAATGGTTCTATCCAACACAATTATTCGCTAATATAGTCTATTTTTCCCTGCACGGGCCTCAAACATATGCCCTAGTCCGGCCCTTGTCCGACAGATTATCAGAATTACAGGCCGAGTCCGACTGGAGCCCGTATCTTTTTTCTCTTTCTCTCTTCACCATTACACAGCTGCTGTTGTAGCCATTAAAAGAGTTTAGTTTTGTTTTAATGGCAAAGTGGTTATATTTATTTTCGTTTCTTTATTACGTAATTTAGAAATATGTTTGGAACATTTTTTTATTGTTAAATTCAAGTTTTTGTTTTTTAAAGTAACGACCAAGCGGCCAGTGGCAGACAGTGAGCCTGTGTTTGATCAATTTAGCCTTCTCAAATCATCACGACTTGCCTAAAATAAAATCTATAGATATAAAACAGTTCAAGTCAAGTTTTTGTTTTTTAAAGTAACGACCAAGAGGCCAGTGGCGGACAGTGAATTAATAATAGCCTTTGTTTGATCAATTTAGCCTTCTCAAATCATCACCACTTGACTAAAATCAAATCTATAGGCCTATATAAAATACTTAAAAAAGCATATCACAATGTTAGTTTAAATGGTTAACCTAGATAAATGTGTGCTAGCCTATTAGGCGCGTATCCAATCGTTTGTGCAGAGAAGCTAAAGCGCGCATTGCAGGACATGGAGTCGCCAGCGTGATCACTTGCATTTTTTTCTTATAACAGTGGAAACAACGTCATTTTTGCTCATAAAGGTAAGAGTAATACATCATTCGGGACTGTTAAGTACTTTTATTTGTGTGCACTCACAATATCAGCATACGTTGTGCTTTTTAGAAAACAAACAGGATGCGCTTTCTGCCGTCTCGGTCTTGAGCAGGAGCACTTCACAAAAATGAACCGAAACTCAGCGAATATTCTATTTCCCCTGGGGCATTCATCATGGTAATTACTTGCTGGCGTTTTGCGGCAAGCTTTGCGTGCGCTTTAACGTGGAACTCTTCCAGCACTCGCTGCTGCTGCGGGACACTAAACACTGTCAGAGCCGCTCTTGACAGTCGCGGTAGCACGGTCTCGTGTTGTTTCCCCCAGCGCGGCAAATCTTTTTTATCACCATAATAATTGATGGATATCTAAAATATAAAAATAAGGAGGAAGCAAGCCCGATGCCCGGCCCGCGTCTGAGCTATGACTTGAAAATTGTCCCGAAGCCGTAAATAAGTCGGGGCCCGTCGGGCTCTGGCTGAAATGCAGGACTCTAAAGCGCAGCTTGTTGCGTTTAAGCAGCAAAAAATACACACAAAATGACGCCAAAATGGCCATCCTGGCCACACAGTTAAATAAATGATAATATTCAGTGATGTGATATGTGAAATGTGGAGTAACGTCTGGCGCAGTTGCAGCTTGTACTTATTACTAAAACAAGAAAGCAAACAAGTAGCATTAATAGTCATTCATTTTAGTTAACATATGCTATGATAATTTGAACAGATTTTTATTCTTATTGTAAAAAAAATGGAACATTAGGTCATGATATTGTCTTAAAAATCATGGAAATATCATGGACATTTATTGGTAAAAATGTGTACGAACCCTGA